CATTTTTCTCTACCACCGGTAAAGCAGTGGTCAGGGCTCAAAGGATTAAACTTATTTTACTGGTCTCAGTAAAACTGACCCCCAGGTTATTTTGCTGGTAAATATTGTTGTTATTTTTATTTTTATTTTCACCATCTGTCTATTTTATAGGGACCAGCAAAATAGCCTATTTTAATAAAATAAGCACATCTATCCTCCTTCTTATAACCATCCACTAAATGTTTTCAGTGCTAAAACTTAATTAGTCAAATAGAACTTCATAAGCTTCTACTTAGAGTTGTTGCTATATAACACTGTTGATTACCAATTTTACTTGTTCAGTCATTTTAGCTTTTTTTGTTGTTTTTTTTTTCTTTTTTTTTATTAGGAAGACAATTTGTTGTTGTTCATTGAATAAATCTCTTCTATGGTTGACCTTAGTGTTTGTATTGTTTTGTTTTTAATCTGAAAATCCAAGTCAAAATAATTTCACTGGAGGACATATCCTTCATTTTTCTTAATTTTTGAATTTTCTCTTTTTTACCTGTTGTCAACCAATCCACTGAAAGCTGATTACTATAATTCTCTATCCACACCCCCAATACTTCTCAGTCGTATTTTGCTTCTAGCTAACTCTTATCTTTCTAAGCAATGTCCATCATTATCTGCTGTCTTCTTGATTCTTTTTCTTTCTTTGTTCTCACTCGTTTATAATGTTTTTCTTATTCTTATTCTCCCACATCCAGTAACCCCTTGTGTCTTAGTAGCCTTATTGCCTTGCTTGGGATGAAATGAGCTAAAAAAAAAAAATTTGCATTGAGAACTTCATCAGTGAAGGGTTCCTTGCATCAATGACCCACAACACAAGCAATGTTTAGAAAGTTTGTTTTTTAAAATTTACCACAAAAGTTTCTCTACACTTGCTGTTTCTTGGTATTTATTAGAGTAAATTTGCTTAAACTTGGCATGTAATTACTTTTGAAAAGAGTACTCTCTCTAAATGAGTTTCTATTGAGTAATTTATACAAGTAAACATCAAAGCTACAGATGAGTGGCCCATTTTACAGTACTTCTGGAATTTAGAAGATTACATGTTTGGGTGTATTTTAAGGTAGGTGCATGTTCATATGATAAACAATTTGGAAGAATTGGCATGGCATGTGGAACTAGAACATTGTGGATGAAATAATGGGTCTGGTTTGAATTTCCAATCACTGGAAGAAGGCCGGAGAGTACAATGGCTGAAATGTTGTGAATATGGCAATGGAGATGAGGATAACAGTCTGAATAATGTAAATAATGCAAGTAATCATAATACCTCATCTCAGAAATATAGACAGATTCTTAATGTCTCTTGGGTATGTCTGCTTTATTTTTGCTCCAGGAGTTAGTATAAGTAAGTATAAGTATGGTATCAATGGTTGAGCTCAAGTCAACCTTTTGCGGAGTTGGAATAACCAAAAGAAGGTTTGTAGTTACTTTTTCAGTAGAAGGTTTAAACATGGTTATGGAATGACAGTTTTCTTTTTCTTGGACCAGAATTAGAACATAATTATCACATTGTGCTACATCATAGAGCAAGACAAAAAGGGTGAGTGAGGAAATGTCTGCCTTTTTATAGACTTCAATAGCATCACCTAACCGCGTTTGACAAAACCAAGTGGAGGTTATCATATTTCTGGTTCCTTTACTCGTAGCAACAGGGAAAAATATATTTCCTTTACCTTTTTTATTATTTATTATTTTATTTATTAATTTTATTTCATCTTCCTCCATACTTAAATTCAGTCAGTTCACAATTTCTCAAAATATTAAGAGGAAGATAAATAACCGTGTCAATAAAAAAACTATCCTTTTGACATTCAATATTTTTGTGAGCACAAAAATCCCAAGTTTGACTTAATTAACCCTTTTAGCCTTAGATTCCTGAACAATTTTAACCCTTCTGCCTGAGCTCCTGAGTCAAAATTTGCAAATAATTGGTATATAATGTTTCATGGTAGATATAAAAATAGTTACAAGTGTTTACCCCCTGTTCAACCGGTGACTGGACATTACGTCATTTTTCTCTACCACTGGTAAAGCGGTGGTCAGAGCTCAAAGGGTTAAGAATTATGAATTGATATACTAATGACTTAGAATTATTTTATTGTTCAACTTTTGTATATGTCTATGTAGAATATGAACAGGTACTCTGCATTTGTATAATTATTGGGGAGAAATTTAAGCTATATGATTAATTAAAATATTTGTTTATTTACAGTCTTTCTTGGTGAATTTTGGTTGAATAAGACATTTGACAAATTTGAATAAGATGGTGAAGGATGAATTGGGATTCATAGCCTTTATGATAAACAGTATTTCATTAGATCCGTAAATGTACACCAATAATCCAGTTTGTTAATAAACTTGACCTTATTTTATGTTTTTTGGATTATTTTGCATGTATGATTGGCCTAATTTTCATCTCAACTGATTGGCTTGTCTCATTTCTTTGGAAGGTGATAATATCTGTTAGATTATGTAACCACATGGAAAGTTAATCTTCTATAAGTGGTCAGTCATGTTTTGAAGGGGAGAAAGCAGTTATTAAAGCTAGTAAAATATTAACACCTGAAAATATTATAAAATTGATAACCTGAAATGTTTGATAGATCAAACAACTTCGCATAAGTATTCTTACCTATATCTTTCTGTTTACCTACTAACAAAATAATCTGATTGTGTTTGGGAGAAAAATCTCTTTTGTTTGTTTTATCTTGTTTGTAATAAATTGACTCTGTATTTGTGATAGTTGAGATCCATAACTGCTGTTGTATGAAACTATCCTTCACCTCTGCTAATAATGTTAATCTCCAAACCAGATTTCAAACTCCTCTTTTCTACAAAACCCATTGTACCTTGTCATATTACTGCCACACACATTATTTTATTACTTAAATGCTATTTTTAGTGGATATCCAGATTTGAGTAGACACTCACTATTTATTTATTAAACAGTCTACTTATTTATTTTCATCTGCTTCGTCTGAATATTCAAGAAATCTTATTAAAGACAAATAGGCACTTTCCATCAGGATTTGAACCTGTGCTCCCTTGGCAGGAGAAAAAAGTTATTAGAAACCACATGCTTGTGACCATCTCAGCCACAGAGTACATTGGCTATCAAGCAATACCCAACAGATTATTGTATTTATTTCTATGCTAGGCCTACTAAGGAGATCCTCATATGTTCATATACACTGATATCTCTAATGATTGGACTCACAATTACTATATCACCAAATTCATGAACCAATACTTTAATCCACTAGGCTATTGTCCCCAGGGACAATTCTGTGTGGAGTTCTAAACCTAAACTGCCTGTTGTTTTGTGTTGCTGCTGCTTGTTATGCTTGACAGCATACACAGAAGCTTTTTTTTGTTACAACTACTGCTATTGCTCTACTGTCACTTGTTTGTCTTCCTTTATTAGAGACTACCATATCATATTTATTCCTACACTAGGCCTATTAATGGGGTCCTCATATATGCTGATTCTTTCAGACATCTAACACTCTAGTGTTCTTCTTTGTCTCATATTTCCACTTCATACCATTCTGTGTGCTTGGACTACTGTGAGTGTCTGAGTTGGAAATCAGGAAGAGTATCCGGACCTTGTAAAACCTTGCCTCAAATCATTATGACAAATCATTTGTCTAGCAGGACCCACCTTGCTTTGTGTGAGATTAAATCTCAGTCCGACCTCAACCAAAAACACAGCTATGTATGTACATATGGTATATTAAGTTTCAGGCATAGTGCCTTATTTTTGACAAAATGAAATAAACACAATTCCTCTTACACAAATCTATTTCCTTGCCGCTACTGTCTTCTTCTTACTGCACCTCCTCCTCCTCGTTATTATAGTGTCCCCAGTTAGTTGAATCCTTACCAAATTAGCGGCTCCTCATCATTTACAGAATAATCATTCACTCCCTCAATATCATGATCTGACTATGGTAAAAGCAATAAATACGTTTCTAGTAATATTAAAATGTTTTAAATATCTTCTTGGTGGGTACGCAGGAGCTTGTGTGTCTATTTCAGAAATTATTTGAAGGGTTACAGCCATATCAGATTGAAATGCTGGTTCTTGTATGATCAGCAAAGTTAAGCAGTGTCAAGTCTAGTCTATGCCTAGATGAGCAACTGCTTGTGAATACCAGGTGCTGTAAGCTTGGATGTGTGGGTGGTGTAATGGATAACTGCTTGAAACTGAAAATTGGAGAGCCGAGTTCTAATTCCAGTCACATTTATTATATTCACTTATGTGCAATTACCCTTGGGAAAGGTATGAATCCACTTTTTCTCTCCCCCCATCCATAGGTTAATTAGAAGAACTTACATCAGTAAAAAATCTCAAAAAATTCCAAGCCTAAAATATTTTCTGTCTTTAAATAATTGGCAAAAGGTTGATAAACTTTAAAAAAAAGATTGAACAAGATAAAAAAATTCATAAGCCTTTTTTTTTTTTTTTTAATTATTAAAAATAGTCATTTTGTAATGTGCAATATTTAAACAAATTTTGGGAGACCAATAGTATGTTTTGAAGCCAATACCAGCTCCCAAGCAATTTTTATCTTGTGGATCATCTTTGGCACTGTAATGACTGAGTTTAATCTCTACAAGTTGAATGGTAAAAAAATCACTTTTATTTATCTTTGAATTTTAATACTCTAAACCCTCAAAAAATTCAAACACTGAGCTTCATACTGACATATAGATAGAAAAGAACAATGAAATATCCAATCACATTGATCCACAATAAATGCAGCCATTTATTTTGCTTTAACATTTAATATTAAAACTATAATCACTTTCATTTTCATATTTACTCCAGAGACTTTTCTTTAATAAATTATACAAAAAATATTATCCAGTAAAATGTTCTTGTCCAGTAGAAAAACAATTAAACTCTGACCTTTGCTGAGAGAAATGGTTAGGAAAAAAAAAAGATTCTCTTGACTGTGATTAGCAACATGAAAATATTGAAAGAATTCAAACTGTTTAAGTTCCAATGTTGAACAGATTTCTCTTTTGATTTGATTAGATAAAGACAAGTGTTTTTCTTTTTTTTTCCAGTTCCAGTCCCTGGTTGCTGTTTGATCAGAGTGAAGATGGAACCAATCCATATTGGAAGCGAGGGCAAGAAACCACGCCCGATGATATTGATGCAGCCAAATCAACTGCAGATATTGACCTCAGCCCAGTGTTTGAGAGAATCTCTATTGTCAATAAATGCGGAGTTCGTGGCAAGCATTTCAGTGGGGTGAGTCTTAATATCAGCATACTAAAATGAGGTGGCTGAATTTCTTTTAATAATAAGACAAAAAACAAACTCCTCTTTCCTGGAATTTTTAGAACATTAATTTCACGGGTAGAGCCAGGAGTTTGCACAAGGTTAGGTTCAAATAGGATTTCTAAAAGGTATGGTGATTAATGTCCTTGTGCAGAGTTTCTGTGTATTTTGTAAGTGTTGTCATTTTTCATTTAAATTGCAGTAGTATTTTTTTCAGCACTAGAATTGACAAAAGCATAAATTAATCAAAGAAATTTCCCCAAAACAAATAAATAAATAAATTTATAAACGTTATGGGATAACATCTTTCTGATTATAATTGATTGAATAATTCATTTTCTGTGGCTTATGAACACTTTGCAGGTTGTTTAAAGACAAAATATTTTTATCTGTCTATATCTCTGAGATGAGGTATTATGATTGCTTACATTATTTATTATTCAGACTGTTATCCTCATCTTTATTGCCATATTGTCATATGTCCAGAAATTGCTGTTGCTTTCTGTCTGCAATCCGTCTAGTCTCGCCGAAGCCTAGAAAAGCAGTGGCCTCCCATGTCCACTCGCCGGGTTTTTAATCGGTAGCGTGGTTCTCTTATGCAAATAAGTCTGCTGCATAAAAATGGCAGTAAGGCGCATGCGCGACCGACTCTCAGAGAATGGTTCGACACGTGAGGCAACGAATTCGCTTTGCTCCTGGTAAGTCACTGTCACTCCTATTACACTCCCCCCTGATCGTATGATCACATAAGTGACAGTGAGGGGCTGGTCGTTTCACCCTTGCACTTCTTTGCGGTGGTATAACCATGACTTCCTCCCCGGCTGAATCGTCAGATGTGTCCTGGTCTGAATCATATTCCGGGGGATCATTAAAGGTTCAAGTCTACTTCTTTCTCGCTTTCAGATGAGGTGTCGCTGCTGCTTGCACGGGAGCTTGGTTCTTGCCATTCATTACTCCCTGACGTTGTGTCACCGCCATCATCCGTTGGTAACAATGAAGTGAGCCGTGGACGTACATCTCCCACGTGTCGCGGTATCCCGTCGATGACTGCGGACTGTTTATTCCTGTGACACGACCTTTCACAAACTTTAACGTGCAGCGTCCATGCGGATTTTTTACCCAAACTGCGTCTCCTTCTTTATACCGAGTCGAAGTCGCCCGGTTAGACGAGGGCACAATGTCAATTCCTTTTATTCGGGCGCAGAAGAGGCAGACACATCATCCCTGGGTGTAATGTTATACCAATACACAGCCTCCATAATAGAGCAGCTCTTTCACGCAGCAATCCGTTTGATTGTCCGATGACACCTCTCTACAATACCATTTCCAGATGGTTTGTACACGCAGCGCGGTCGGAATTGGACGACCTATTCTTCCATGAATTGTTTGAATTGCTGACGTTGCTCTATTTATAGTTTCATTCTGTGCTAACACAGCATTAAGAACAGCTCGCATTATCAGGGGCGCCACATTCAGGCCGAACCCCAGCCTGGTCAAACAATATCGCTTCCCTTTAAACACAACTGTTTGATATGGCCACAGGGATTTTTCAACACGGATCTGTAGATATGCTTTCCTGAGGTCCAGAATGGACATGTTCGCACCCTGCTGACTCCAGTCTTGCAGTTTTTCTGCGCAAACATCCGCAGCACCTGTGAATGTTTCAACGTAGGTATTTAGTTCCCTATAGTCCATCACAGGATGCACCTTATGCTTGTTGGTCTGCAGCACGGCCATCAGTGGTATCAGTCCCTTGGGCGGGCCAAACTCCTTGTTACTGTACGGCACCAACCAACCATTGTCCATCCATGTTTGTAATTCATGCTCGTACTCCTCTCTCGTCTCGGTGGATACTGGATACTCAGAGATCCGATTCTGAAGTTACCCTGGTGCATGACCTGCCGACCACTTCCAGGCTGCGACCCAAACTCCCTGCCGTTCATTGAATTTCACACTGAAATCGGCTTCGCTGATACGAATCGCTGCACAGACGGACCATGGTTTTTCAAACTCCACGCTTCCATGCTGCGTGATGCGAACTCCACCGAATGCCTTAATGGCGTCGATGCCAAGCAACAGGTCGAAATCCAGGGGCTTCCCTCGCATAACCAGCACATCGATTGTAGCAGTATTACCAGTTGCTGTGCAAATTCTGACGGTGCCCCTTCCACAGCAAGCCTGCGTGGCTCCGGTTAATGTAGATACTGCCATACCCTGCTTCGACCAAGACCGACATAAACTCACACTCAAGATTGACCATGAGCACCCAGAGTCAAGGAGAGCCGAGCATGGTGTGCTATCAACACACACAGTAATGATGGGTAGCACCGAGTTTACTTGCTGTTTGGGGAGTGTACCGGCACTGAAGTCTCGTCCCCGCCTCCGTTTCCCGGACAATTTTTGGCCAGATGACCGGTCTTGTTGCATCGATAGTAACGTCGTTAGTTGCCCTTCGCCTCTTCATGCAGTCCCTCAAGGAAGTGATTGGGCCCATTACATTCATAGCATGTGACAAGTGGGCCCATGTCTAGGGAAGAACGGGAGTCTGGGAGGGCTGCACCGCAGCGACGACTGGTTCCTCTCTGCTGTCTCGTCCTTTATGATTGCCCGAGCTCGGGCCAATAGCTCCTCGAGAGACATATCATCCGCCCTGGCTGAGGACCGCGGGAGACTTTTCACAGGATCAGGAAGCCCCTGCACGAACACGCATGCCATCGCACTGTCTGGCACTCCTCCAAAAAGGACGGAGAGCTTCGTCAGAGATCAGCCAAATATACATCTACGGTCTCACCCGGACGCAATATACGTGCCTCGAATTGTTCGTATGCCGTGAATTTATCAGGGGCAAATGCTGCCATTCAACCACAGATCCAGTCTCGTCAAACTCGGGAATTATTTTTAAATCAAACCGGCCGTCCATGTTCACCGAAATAGCTTGTCGTATGTCCAGAAATTGCTGTTGCTTTCTGTCTGCAATCCGTCTAGTCTCGCCGAAGCCTAGAAAAGCAGTGGCCTCCCACGTCCACTCGCCGGGTTTTTAATCGGTAGCGTGGTTCTCTTATGCAAATAAGTCTGCTGCATAAAAATGGCAGTAGGCGCACGCGCGACCGACTCTCAGAGAATGGTTCGACACGCGAGGCAACGAATTCGCTTTGCTCCTGGTAAGTCACTGTCACTCCTATTACATATATTCACAATGTTTTGTCCGTTATATGTTCCGGGCTTCTTCAGGTGATTGGAATTTAAACTGAACACTGCAGAAGATTGTTCTAGTTCCACGTGCTTCTTCCAGATGTCTCAGTTATTTCCCTTTAACTTTCCAAGTTTGGTTCACCACTGCTGTGGCCTAGTATTGAACTCACAACTATTTGGGTTTAGCCACTGGATCTAACCAACATCTTTATCCACATGGCCCAGTTTAATATAAATAATGTAAAATATTTTTAGATTGTAAGTGTTTTTTGAGGGAGAGAATAATGATTTACTGATACAAGCCTTACTCATTAACCCATAGCTGGAGGAAAGAGATGGATTTTCTCATATCAGATGAAAAATAAAATAAATTTTAGCTTTTAAGTTTAATTTATGATTACTTGTGATTATTTTTTTATTTATATAATTTCTTTATTTAAAAAAAAAATTACCATATATGCTTGTGTAACATGCAATCTCATGTATTGTGTTACTCCTAAATTTTCACTTATAAAAATGATTTTATCATGTATCCCATGTATCATGCGAATTCCTTTTTTGAGAGACCAAATTACAATAGACTAACCTTTTTTCCTCTATCTCTTTATCCCATCTTCTACTTAAATAAGTTAAAAAAACAAGTAAAGGAGAATGATAAAAGTATTGTTAGTAACATTATATTCATTGCGTAAATGTATACAGCGATAAATAAGTGAATGAGAAACAGCTGTTTCTGCTATGGTCAGGTCTCGATCAACTAAACAAATTTAACCCTAGAATACTAACCATCAATTAAAGTTACACCACTACTAACCATGGGTATATCATACCTGATTTTGAAAATATAAAAAAAAATATTAAATATAAATCTTTATTTGAAATATTTTACATGCAGGCACTTCAAACTTTGTCCTTTTGAGTTAACATTAATAGGAACTGAAAAACATTATTTAGGTAAGAAAATCAGGTACTGAAAATTGTAATTAAAAATAGGAAAATTTGTGCTGGGTACTATATATCCATGGTTAGTGTTCTAGGGTTAAACAATGGAAAAGATGCATATTGTGATGTTTTTATTTTATAATACAATACTAATATGTAAATATTACATGCATTATTATTGGACACAGTTAACTAAAACATCTGTTTTATCAAAATCATGTTTATTTTAAATACAGTTGTACTTTTTGACTACAGTAAATGGATATTTCAGGGTGTCCATAAAGTTCGTGTGCACTTTAAAAATTTATAACTTTATTTGTATTTGCGTTAGGAAGGGGTTTCCGGTACTCTCTCTCTCTGTCTCTTACTGGCCTCTGTATCTCCAGTTTCGTTGATCTATCCACTACTCTTCTCCTCATCTTTTCTTCTATCACTCCTATCTGATCTTGCTCCAAATTTTCTGTAACCCCTTGCGTCCTTGTGGCTTTCCATCTTGCTTGGGGTAAAACGCTTAAACAAAAAAAAAAAAAATAATCTGTAAAAAATATTATAACGTTTAATGTACCTAGTTCTAAGTATAGCTAAAATAGCTAATGTGATTTCAGGCATTACTGTAAATCAGTTGGCAAATGTTTTCCATGAACTGTAAAATTGTATTACCCTTTGTATTGCTAATGATGGAGGACATGTGGAGACTTAAATAAAATTTCAATAAAACCTAAAAAAATATACATTTACTTCTTTCTAATCCTTTTTGCAAATTATTTCTATCACAAATACAAATAAAGTTATAAATTTTTAAAGTGCACACGAACTTTATGGACACCCTGTATAAT